AACAATGCAACTGCTGAGGTTCGACGGTCACCGTTGCTGCCTCGCCTGAGCTTTGCGGCTTGCAAATCTCGACGCATTTGCGCGTTCGCATGCCTGAACACGACTCTGCATGTTGCTGCCTGACCTGCCATGAGGGGAGCATGAGAGCATGTGAATGTGGAGAGCATGCTCTCCTTGTGATGAACTCAAGCCAGCCAATGGCATCCAAGAGCTTGCCGAATTGGTGCCCTGGCTCACGGAGACAAGAGATCAGCAAAGCTCGCTTCGACAAGCATGCAAGCAGCACGTCTGCTCTGCTTGAATGCCTTATGCGCCTGCGCCTCATCATCTGCCTGAGCTTTAATCTCACCCAGGGCTTCTACGATTTTGTCCACCCCATTGGCCCTTGTGCAGGCCCAAGTGCTGTGTTCAATGGATCCCCGCGATTCCCCGCGGTTCCCCGCGGTTCCCCGCGGTTCCCCTCGGTTCCCCTCGGTTACCCTGTCACGTCCTGTGCACATGACAACAATGAACAACAGCAGAGGGAACAAGCAGAGAACAAACCATGCAACCTGGCTGCAGCTTCAGTCTGTCCTTCTTTGGCAACCCGTAAATCTGGAGATATCTCCGCCTCTTACGCATGCTTACATGATGTGCCCGGTTACACTGCTGCTCTCCGGATGGCTAGCCGGCAATGGCTGTTGCTCCCTCTCCCTGCCTGGGCCAATGTAACACAACCATGACCCACATCGAGCATCAGAGGATTGGCGATGGGCACATCTTTGGGAGACTCCATGGCCTCAAGGCAACAAGCTTGGACTCGGCGCCGCGAATCACGGAGCACGCCGCGGAAGTGCGTGCCATGCGAATCCTCCCCGTGCTACATCGTGCGTTGGAGAGCCTCAAAGACGGTGGCGATGCTTCCCTTTAGCTCGGCCTGTCCCATGGCGACATTGTGCGACATGCAATCTTTTGCGAAATCAACAGATAGACATCACCACTCAACAGGTGAAGGGAAAGGTAACAAACAATCGATTTTACCCGCACCTTTTTGCCAGCAGCTTGCTTCGACGTCTTCGACTTCAGCTTGGCCTCAGGCAGTGGAAGACAGTCGTGAAAAGTGTCTTTCTGAGCTGCTGGCAGCTACTGGCCTTGGCTTTGGCACGTGACTTCGCTCCAGTTGCGGTCGCCTGGGGCACCAGCTCATCACAGGCCGCATCAAAGCTGTATCTTATGAGGTGCGTGCCCTGTAAATACTGACACACGCCAGGGAAGAAATTGTGATCTTTAGCGAGTTCCTGTGCGCACGGATTGGCGTTTGCTTTGTGCTTCTGTTTGTGTTCCTTGGCTCTCCGTGCGCAAAAGGGAAGAGGAACGCGCTGAGCAAAATATGATCATTTCCAACGATGACCTCCAACGGAAGATCATGGCTTAGCGTGTCGGGGTGACAGCTTCGGGTTGAGGGTTTAGCGCTGGTCACTGACGCGGGGGAGTAAACAAGCACCACAAGGCAGTACAATCCCAAAGCAAAAAATGCAACCCTATAAAGCAACAATCACAAAAGCCATTCTCAGCCCGAAACCCCTAGCCGCCAGTCCGTGCTCGAAAGCTGCAAGTACCATATTTCACCCGTGAACGCGCCTCACCGCTCTCAGCCTTGGCAGCCTCTGGGAGACTTGATTCATGCACGACACTTTCCGACATTCCTCAACGACGCCTCGTTCACGGCTGTTTCTGGCTGCAGGTCGGCCGTCTTCGCCTTCTCTTCGGCTGGAACCTTGTCGGCAAAGTCTTGTGAAAGTGCATTGGAAAGGTTGCTCGAAGCATCTCGAGGCACCGCTCAGCAGATTCTCACGCTCTGTTTCTACAGACGTGTGGAGATTCTCGGAGCGCCTCGGCCCCTGGAGCGGCATCGTCCTGACCTCACATCGGAGCGTCGACCCCCAGCGCTGAGGCGCCCAAGCCGTGCAAAGCCATGCATTTAGCCTCTTTGAAGGAAGCATTTGAAGCATCTCTGGCAAAAATCTCCAGCTGGGAACCATGCTCGGACCGCAGCGAGCTCGCTTTGAGGGAGCCTTTGCATACGGCACGGAGGTGACAGAGGCACAGAATCGACGAGTAAGGCCTCGGGGCATGGATCGGAACCAGAACCTGCCGATGGACCAAGGATGCCCAAAGATGCCCTGGCGAAAAAGCAACTGAAGTCCCTGCCTTGAGCTGGCAGAGGAGGCGCCGGCGGCGGAGGACCAGGAAAGGGCAGACCAAAGGGACCAAAGGCCTCTCCAGCTTTCACGAGCTGCACGAACATGGTTTGAATCCTTGCATCCGGCACATAAACCTCATCTGAATCTTGAGATAGAATCGTCTCCCAGGGCATACAGCTTCCACGATTATCCACTACAGCCACTACCCAATGCACCACACATAGCTTCTCCGCATGCGCTCATTACCTGCGTAGTGGGTGCGCAAGGCGCACACGGCCTGCCTTGGTTCGTGGCTCACCTGGCCTGTTGTCATCCAGCCGGTCCTGGTGCCAAAGTTGCGTGTACGTCCTCTACGTGTCGCGTCTCTGTCTGCTGGCCACTGACCATGAAACCGACCCCCTTGCAGCAGCAATCTGGCAGCAGCAAGATGCCAGATCACTGGCGCTCCGACAAGACTCACAATTTCTCTGCGAAGTCGGGGTTTGAGGACAGGAAAAACATCAACATCAAGAACTATCTTTGGTTAGTTTGCGCGCTTCGTTCCATGGTACCTGTATCCCCCAACTCAAAACTTAGGCCCACCAACAGCATGGTTCTGTAAACGCCCAAGGCTCCTGATTACGACGCAAGCCGGCACAGCAGAAAACATGTAACAGCGTGCTGCCTTTGCAAGCCGAAGGCCACTGACAATCTGACCAAGTGTGAGTCGAAAAGGTTCTGCAAGGTACATAGCTTATCTTGTAAGTTATATGTACGCTGTATAAGCTGTGCGCACTACATGGGTCAAGTAAGTTAAAAGAAGCTATACAAGACGTGGTACATGAAAGAAGTTGCGTAAGTCATATGTGTCGCATAAGCCACGTAATTTAGATATGCTGTGCGATATATAAGATTTGCAAGTTACTCAAGCTACATAGGGACATGTCATTAAGTTTTGACTGTTCTAAAAACCTATTTAAGCTACGCGTACACAAGTTATTTAAGTGATATAAGTGGTGCAAGTGTTACAATCCATACAAGATTTGTAAGTTGTGTGAGTCAAACTTGTTCAGCTGCATAGGTAAATTATGTAAGTGTTGTCAGCTATAAGTTGAAAAGAGTTAGAATGTGTACATGTTCAGATGTCATACAACTTCTATGAGCTCCATAAGACTTGTAAGTCTTGTACTGGCATTGCGGCAGCGTGGCTAGTTTCCAGAAAGAAATGGTAAGAGTGTTCTGAGTCACGCGTCAGCATCGTGCAAAGAAGAAACCGCGTCGATGCCGTGACGTTAGAATGTAATAGAACGGAAGAGGCTGTCTCCTGCACAGCCGCACTTGAGCTGCCATGCCTTCGAAGCGTTCCCGCAGCGGCATTGTCCTGCCCAGCCCGTGGCTCCACTTCCTCCTGCAGCAGCTGGGCCACAGCAAGTTCTGCAGATCCTGACAGGCAGTGGCCACACCACAACTTCTGCAACAACAAACCGTCAATACAGTATGCCTAACTAAGCCTAACAATTGGGCGGCATGCGCCTTTGTTCTGCTGCAGCGCCAGCATTGACTTCCGCCGCGAGAAGCCCATCTCCACAAGCTGCTGGGTTATCGGATCCTCCTCCGCAGCCGGAAAAAAAAAAACAACACATCAGGGCAGAGCACATCAAGCCTTGAGATTAGCAGGGTATTGCAAACGTGGCTGGCCTTCGGTACGCCGCCGCTTGACGAAGATGCGCCGCTGCCGCTGGAAAGTACAAGGATTTCTTCGGAACTCCCAACAGCACATGATCCTGATTGTGGTGTCCGGCATGCGGGCGAGTTCGCCTCCGACATGAGTCTTTTGACCGGCGTGGAAGGCATCGAAGGCTGTTCATGTTGCTCTCGTTGTTTGTCTCGAGCATGGCAAGGTATTGAAGAAGCCGGAGGGGCGCATCCCTCTAGAGACGCCAGCTCCTTCTCTGGAGCCGCGTCCATGTCTGCTCTGTCGCAAGCAGGAGATACAGGGGATTCTGTTGGTGGCACCTGTTCCCGTTCGAGAACGGTAGGCGCTGCCTGTGAGGCCTCACCAGCGCATGGCGCTCCCTGACAAAGCACAAAGCATCACAACAGAATCTCGGCGCCAGAATGTGTAGGAAGAAAGCACAAATGTGCATTGTGCAACTCCATGCCAAGCGAGTCTAATTGTTCTAATTGACATGTCCAAGCGTTGGCCTGGGTCTGGGCCTGGGCCTGGGCCTGTCTGGCCCGTGCCACTGCAAGTTCCTTTGGTAGCTCAGTAGCTCCGCAAAACCCCGCAGCAAACGCCAACGAAAGCAGAAGACAGAAACGGCAGGTACGCAAGCCTGAGAGAATTGAGATTGTTGAGACGCCAAGACGCTTTCTCGAGGGCCTCGACACGCGCACGGGCGAGCTCGCGCTCCAGCTCCGCAATGTGAAGCGCATCCATGGCCCGGCCTGAGCATCTCAAGCGCTGCAACTCTCCTTTGCCCAATTTTCGCTACCTGACCCACGCTGGACAAGCAGCTTCAGCACAAGCTTTCACAGTGCCGACCCATGGCAACAGTGAACGTTTAACTATGTTTAACTAGAGCTCAACTTGACGAAGGCTCAGACTCGGTCAGGACTTGGGACTCAAGGAAAATAGCCCAATAACATACTATGCAAAAATATCCACAGAAGTATGTCGTCACATGTCGTCACCATTCATTGTTGAGCCGAAAGCCCTGCGGGTAATCATTGGAGTTCATTCTTCTAGAACTCATGCATACTCACGTCGATGCCTTTGGGAACTAGACTTGTCCACGTACAAAAACTGCAGACTGCGCATGCATCAGCATTCCCGACCTCGAGATCAACTACGAACTCTGGCAGCCGCGGCTCACGTAGTCGCAAGAGTTGTACCTCAGAGCAACATGGCCCAACCACCCAGATCCAGAGGCACCGCGCATCTCTGGGACATCGCCGATAAGGCCCGAAAAGGGTGAGAAAGTCATCATCACATAAGGCTTCGTATGGGTGGTATGGGGAGACACTTGGGACTCTTTGTTGACCAGGCGGTGTTGGCCACCCATTTGATTACATCAGCTTCGGATACATGTACCTTCCCGAAGAACAGAAAAAGCTTATGCTTTGATTGGGACTGAGATCGCGATGAAGTGCACGCTGCTGTTCTGAGAAGCGTTCCAGCAACAACAATTCCGACAGTACCTTCAAGGTGCAATAGCTTTCAGAGCCTTTTGCATGCGGGCCGAGAAAAGATTGACCTTGAAATTCAACCGTCTACAGTTTGGAATCAAAGTCCGGGAAATCGAATGGGCGAGGCTTGCTTCGAAACAGTTCCATTGATTGGCATTTGTCGCTTGACAAATTTCGCAAGATGTACTACACCTAGACTTTCTTGTGGGGGCGGGGTCCTTGAAGCGGAAGCTAAACATTTTCAGAATTTCATTGGCTTCAGCAATCTCAACGAAGCCGTTGCCTGACATGTGTTTTTACTGCAGCCTGCTAGTTCCGTTCAGCTGGCGAAGCGGAAGGAATTACGAGCAGCCAAGCTCATGGGGGTAGGGGATCAAAAAGACTTTATTTGGGATCAAAAAATAATTTATTTCTAGGCGGATCAAAAAAAAAACTTATTTGGGATCAAAAAATAATTTACTGAAGGCTTCTAAGGCTTCTTGCAAGCGAAACGGAGGCCGTAAACGCTCAGAAATGCAGCAGTTCTGGCCGTTCGCGAGCTCTAAATACCGGAAAAACACAGCATTTATGCAGGAACTACTGAAAATAGCAGCATTTCTGAGTTCCCAGAGAGGCTGCAGATATTGTATATAGCAGCAGTTCTGCGCATTCAGAAGCTGGAAATACTGTACACTTTAGTATTTCTGAGTTTCCAGAGGCTGCAAATACTGAAAATAGCAGCATTTCTGCGATTTCAAAGGCTGGAAATACTGTAAATAGCAGCATTTCTGAGTTTGCAGAGGCTGCAAATCAATGCTGGCATCTTGGCATTAGAAGTTTCAAAAAAATGCGTATACTCTGAAGCATGTATATTATGGCATAGTATGGTATATTCTTGTATAGTATTGTATGACATTGTATATTCTTGCATATTATTGTATATTGTTGTACATCTTGTTGAGTATTATTGTATTGTCGTGTATTTTCTTGTATTTTTGTATAATACTTTATATTGTTGCATATTATCGAATGTTATTGTATATTTTCAAAATTATTGTGTATTATTCTCTTTTTTGTAGATTACTGTACATTATGGTATATTATTGAGTTTTCTTTGTATGTTACTGCAGATTATTCTATATTATAGTATATTATTGTATGTCATTGTATATTATTGTCTATTGTTGTATATTATTGTATACTATGTTACATTATTGCATGTCATTGAGTTTTTGTGTTTTTCTATACTACTGTATATTTTTGTATATTTTCGAAAATTATTGTATATATTGTTGTGTATTATTGTACATTTTCGTATATTATTGTATATTGTTGTCGATTATTGAATACTATTGTCAATTACTGAAAGTTGTTGTAAGTTATTCTTGTTTTACGTGTATATTGCTGCATATTCTTGTATATACTTGAAAAGTGTTGTATTTTTGTGTATTATTATATTATGCAAAAAAGTGCTCGCATCATGGGATTGGAAGGATTCATGTGCTTTGAAGCAAGCTTGCCCGGACTAAGAAAACAGCGGGGGGGTTGGGGGGGGCGCAGCCCCCCCCCGTTTGCAAACACAACGCTCGCATCATTGGTTTGGAAAGGATATTCATATGCTGGCTTAAAAAAACAGCGGGGGGTTTGAGGGGGGGGGCGCAGACCCCCCCCCCCATTTGCAAACACAATGCTCGCATCATGGGTTTGGAAGGGATTCATACGCGTTGAACAAGCTTGCCCGGCGCCAAACAAACAATAAATATGTATTGTGTATTATGAATTTTATATATACAAATAGCATTAAATATATACATATACGCTTTCTTACTACGATTTTTTATATTTTTTTATCATACAAAGGTATACTATACGATATTTTGTTCTATGATACTCTATTCCACTATATAATATCATTGTACTTTGCTTTAATATATACACATACATATATCATATGTTATGTTATGTTTTCCTACAGAACTAAATATACCATTATGACCAAAAAAAACAAACTCTGACCAGGGGACAGGGAAACCACGGGACCAGAGGACCGGAGGACCGGAGGACCAGAGGACCACGTGGCCAGAGGACCTTAGGAGCACAGCACCAAGCAACCAAAGGCCAGAATACGTATGCTTTGAAGCAAGCTGGCACGACGTCTTCCTTGCTTTCTTTCTTTTGTGAAAATGCCTTTTTCTGTCTTTCTTGATTCCGGCCTTCCTTTTCCTTTTCCTTTTCCTTTCCTTTCCTTTCCTTTCCTTCCCTTCCTTCCTTGCTTCCTTGCTTCCTTGGTTCCTTCCATCCTTCCATCCTTCCATCCTTCCATCCTTCCATCCTTCCATCCTTCCATCCTTCCATCCTTCCATCCTTCCATCCTTCCATCCTTCCATCCTTCCATCCTTCCTTCCTTCCTTCCTTCCTTCCTTCCTTCCTTCCTTCCTTCCTTCCTTCCTTCCTTCCTTCCTTCCTTCCTTCCTTCCTTCCTTCCTTCCTTCCTTCTTCCGTCCTTCCTTCCTTCCCTCCTCCTTCCTTCCTTCCATCCTTCCATCCCTTCTTCCTTCTCCTTCCTTCCTTCCTTCCTTCCTTCCTTCCTTCCTTCCTTCCTTCCTTCCTTCCTTCCTTCCTTCCTTCCTTCCTTCCTTCCTTCCTTCCTTCCTGTCCTTCCGTCCTTCCACCCTTCCTTCCCTCCCTCCCTCCTTTTCTCCCTCCCTCCATCCCATTTTCTCTTTCTCCGTCGGAAGAACAGAATAAATTACTTTTTGATCCTAAATAAATTTTTTCTTGATCCTAAATAAATTTTTCTTGATCCGAAATAAATTTTTTGATCCGCATCCCAGCTCATGTGGCAGGGCTCCAGGCGAGGCGAAGCAGGTAAAGGCACTCTGGCTGAATTGCCGTCCTTCATGCGCATGATATGCTCAAGGAGGCCCAGCTTGACTTCTGTGCACAACATCGGGCATCCGGAGTAGTATGCCCAGGCCTGGTCGTTGCCGCCTGCCACTTGCCATGACATGCATACTCACTGCACAGAGTTCGAGCATTCGAACGCTTTCTATTGTACTATGGCCAAGCGCCTCAACATCTCTCAGCCATTCTCTCACCTGGAAGCTGGGGCGCCTCATCCTTTGCGTGAACAGCTCTCAGCGACAAGAAAACCTCGATGCCAAGCGCTAAGACCTTGACGGCATGGCAGTCTGCGTCCAGTGACTCTCTCAGCAAGTGCTACTTGATGGGCTGGCCTCGTGGTGCCCTACCGGCAAATGCCCTGCCAGCAACCCGCAGATCCTTAGCTGCAAACATGCTGCAAGGCATCGTACCGCCCTGTTCAGTTGCTTGTCCAACTCTGACAAGAGCTTCCAGATATCAAGCTGCCCTACCTAAGGACCGCACTCATCTATGTCGTCCTGGCAGATACTGCCTTCCGCACCTGCGCCCGAATAGCTGAGTTCTGCAATCCATCCACTCCTCTGGCGCCAACGAACGACTCCACGGATCCCCGAACGCTTGGGGGCCCAAACACCGACTCGTTCCCAAACCCTTGCTTGAGAATTGTCGTGCATATGCGTGTTGCTTACCGAAGTTGGTTGCTGTCCTCCGTGTGCAGGCCCAACCTGAAAGGCTGCCCGGGCCGAACCGCCGCCGGGGTATTCGCTTACTTCCCCACTTTAGATGTATGCCGGCACTCCCATCGACCCATCGAGCCCAGAGGCTGTTCGCTTGAGGGCGAGTCAAAGGACCAGCTGCGTGAGCAGTTCAAGCAGATTGCAGATTTCCACGAAGCAGGGAATGGGGTTCTGCCAGCTTGCCGATTTCTAATCTTTTTGGGGTCTTTTTTGGTGCCAAATGTGCCCTCCCGTCCCCATCACACAAACCTCCCGAGGTCACGAACCCCCTCATGCAGTCTGATGCCAGGCCCTGTATCCAGCAAGGTACCTAACGAAGACCGCACCATACCACCCCCCATGTCTCTGTCTACAAGAAACCCACCCCACATCTACAGGAAAACTACCTTGAACTACCTTGGTCACAGGAACTCTCATGCCACTGCTAGAAAACTGACTGCAAAATCGTGCTAGCCCGGCTCTGTGTCTTGCCTTGGCCAGGCTCCGCTGGATCCCGCAAATGATGGTACCTTCTTGCACCCGCGCTCTGCCCCTCTGCACTGAGTCACTACTGCCTGTTGATGTTTCAGAAAATACTCAGCGCACTCGCTGCCAACAAGCAAAGTGGCAAGACCACCGCTGTCAAATCGCATTCGGCTAAGTGCTCTGCTACACATGCCAAGTCTACGACACAGAGAACGCACACAATCATCCATCATCAACGGTGAGCTGTCTCACATGTCTGCTTGGAAAAAACACACGTTCCAGATCGGGGCACAGGGCTCTCACCAAGTCATATCACAACATATAGCATTTTATGCACGAAGCATCAAGAACGTCTTTCCGCTCGTTGGGAACGGCTCGCATGTTCGCATGTTCACGTGCTCGTACGCGTTCGCACGAACAATGCTATGGTGTTCATGATGCAAAAAATTGTGTTCCGGAGGCGCATGAATGCCAACAAGCGCAGCATCCGATTCTTGGTCTCCACCTGACCACAAGATGCAAGCATATGCAGATTGCCCAAACTGCGTTGGCTTCATTGGACTGCAAGGCTCCGTACTCAGGAACCACGCCTCAACAAAGCTTCGCCAGAAAGCCTTCGGCTCCATGCACAGCCACATACCATCACACCCCGAAGACCAGCTACATGTCTGACATTTTCACTGTTCTCACACAAAAGGCACCTTCAAAGAGTCGGTGACCTCGGAATCGGGCTTCAAGGCCCGACCTGTGAGAAGATGTACAGAAGATGTACGAAATATGTACAAAAGATGTACAAAAGATGCACAAAAGATGTGCGAAAGATCTACAAAAGGTTTACAAAACATGTACGAATCTCACTGGCAAATCGGCCGCGGGTGGCATTTGGTGGCGAAAGCTGTTCAACTTTATCTCTCGGGACGTTGCGAACCCCAAAGGTGCCTGCTAGTGCCAGGGGCATTGGAGAAGGACGCGAGAGGTCGGCATCTCAGTGAAGCACCGGCTTGACAATCATCAGCATTCCAGCTTCTTGATCGGTTGCAGCACGTCTCGAGATAAGGGCTAGGCGAAGCAGTGGCCTGTTCAAAAGCTGCACATTCCCCGTTGAACGCGTAACACAGCCAGAATCGTGCAACAACAGCAGCAGTCTCCGTGCATCTGGACTTGGTGTGCAAGTTTTGATCATTGGCACGTGTGCTATCCGATGCTATCAACTGCTATCAACCTGGGTTCAAAGCCCAGTTCGACCTGGAAACATTATGAACCGCTATCCCTTTCATTTGGTCCCGTGCCGGAGCTCTCGCTCAGCGAAGTTCTCAGCCAGGCCTCGCCTCGAGAGCATATCCAAGACACATAAAGAGGTGCATAGAGAAAATATGTATACAGAATATGTATATACATATATATGTATATGTATATGTATATGTATATGTATATGTATCTGTATATGTATATGTATATATGTATATGTATATATGTATATGCATATGTATATATGTATATATGTATATCTGTATATCTGTATATCTGTATATCTGTATATCTGTACATCTGTATATCTGTATATATGTATGTATATATATATATATATACCAAAATGTCTTCGTATAAAACATAAACATATACAGGGGGGGGCACCCTCCTCCGTGAACCCTCCACGAAAATATGATTGCAGCATGAAAGCAGCTTTGCTTTAGCCAGATTTGAATAAAAAAAGGCCCGGATCCAAGATTCCAGATTCAAGATGCACCGTATCACTACCGCAACTTTGCCTTGCATCTTTGCCTTGTATCTTTGCGCACCGTTCCTCACGTTTGCCGTCGCAGCTGTTTCGCTGTGTTGCGGACCTCTTTTGAGGTTGCGCTGGCACTATGAGTTCTCGCTGATGTTTGACAAAGCTCTAGTAAACTTTTCCCCCATTGTTTGCGTTCACGCAAACCTTGTGAGGGCATGACATCGGCTCAGGTGTTGAGAACACTGTTACTTACAATATATCGAGGCATCGGAACGCAGAACAGCATGCTAACAGTCTAAAAAAAAAAAACGAGGTTCTCGGAAACAACGTCCGCGACGGTTTTTTGGGCGGTTTAGGCTGGAAGAAGGGGTCCCGAGCACTCCCGGCATCCAAAATAGTCATTGCTCTGGCCATTCGCACGCACTGGTAACCGAACGGAGTCATCGTGCGGGCATCGTATGCTCTGGCCATTCGCACAACATGGACGTTGCCCGACGGCAAACGTTGGGGACTCCGGGTATCTCTACGTACAGGTCCTTACTCACCTTATTCAGTTTTATTCATTATTGAAAGCAAGATTCAAGATTCAAGATGTTTTCTAACCTCTTGAATCGAGAATCCTGGATCCAGGCCACCAAAACTGAGTGAAACGGAATAAAGCGAATCAAGGGCGAGATTCCCAGTGAACCCTGCATCTTGAATCTTGAGTCTTGGATCCGGATCCGAGCCTCTCACAAAATTGAAAGAAAAAACTGAATGACCCCCGAGCACTACATGACGCAAAGAATCAGTGACGCAAACGACTCTCTTTTTGGAAGCTTTCAGCAGGCGGCGTTGACTTCGTCCTGCTCGCACCTGCCTTCAAAGTTTGCGCAGGGCGACAGGCGACTGTCACGCCCCACTGTTTGTAGGGCGGTGAGGGTGGCTGTTTCGCAAGGAATGCCAAAGAGGCTCGGGGCTCGGCTCAGCCTATCTCACGGCTTCGAGCAGCCCCTCGCTGCGGCATTGCGCCCACTCCGTGCTCTTACGTGTCACTACGCGCACAAGTGCTCTACACGAAACTGAATAAGCGCCGAGTCAATTTACCCAGACATCCTGAATCTTGAACCTTGGATCCGGATCTTCTTCTAAGTTTGAAGCAAGCTGAAGTGGGGCCTAGGGATGTTTAGCGATGTTTTCGCTCGAAAACGCTTTCTGCTGCGAGATTTCAAGGTTTTGCAGAGGGTCTATCCTTCTTTTGGCACCTCAAGTACGTAATCCCTGAGGTCATGACCTGTGTACCCCTCAAATGCAGTGTACGAGACAAGGCCCGGCGGCGTTGACGGATGGGAGACGGTTGAACTTCAGCGTTTGCCAGATCATGTTCATGCCCAGTTTCTGCGTTTCATGCATTCTCTGGAAGACAATCGTGTGTCATCATGGCCGCCAGGTATGACTGATGTTGTTACCGTTTTGCTCCCCAAACCCGATGGGGGTACAAGGCCCATTTCCTTGGTTTGTGTGTGGGTTGGTGCTTGTATGTCTGCCCGGTATCGGCAGATGGAGGGATGGATCCGCCAAATTTTGCCACCGCAGCTTCACGGGTTTAAAGGGACGTAGTGTTTTGACTTCCGAAGTACCTCAGGCCATTTTTCTTCAACAAAGCATGGAGGGAAATGTTCCTCTGCTGGGCTTGACGCACGATAGGCGCAAGTGTTTCGACCTTTTCAAAGCGGGTTTAGGGCCTCCGCGTTTTGGTTTTGTTTGTTTCCCCCCTTTCTTGGGGTTTGTAGGACCAGCCCTCCTCATAGGGTTGTAGTGTGGGACCCCTGTGTCCCGTTTGCATGAGTGGTCACTGCGTAGGCCTTAGTATGCCTGGTCTGTGACGTCCCCTGCCTGGTCGAAGTCAACTACTGTGTTCTGTACTTGGTGAGTTGACGCGCAGGCAGCATTTCTATCATGCATTTGCAAATGCTGCCTGGCGAATTCGGTGATCCTCATTGGCTATGCGCTGGGAGCACATATATCTGACTCTTGGAGCCCTCCCTAAACTTTTTCTTTCAGAGGGTGGGGCCTGGAGGTCGAAAAAGTCTCTGCATGCTACTGTATGTTGCTAGAGAAAGGAGCTGATCGTGCCCGCTGACCTGACTCGAACAACCTGTGCAGACGCTGCAGGAGCATAACTCGACATCGCAAGGAGGGAGGCCTTGGGCTAAAGTTTGTTTGTGGGGTGGAGAAGCTATTTGAAAATATGTTGGCCTTTCGCTACAGGAAGATGCATATTGTACATGTAAAGGTCGTTGTGGCTCTAGACTTTGGATAGGCCTGGCCAGAACATATTGCTGTTTAAGGTTTCCCGAAGTGTTGAACTTATGTAATGCATTTTGCCATTGACCCACTACTCATATCACTCAATGGAACCGTTGGGAAGGTGAGCTATTCAGAGTCTTAAGGCGAATTTATATGAGCCTTATCCTTGGAAACGACAACCATGTTGGGAGACCTTCGAAAAATTGGGAATGAAAACCGAGATACATTCGAGTAACTTCTAGCAGGCTTTTTGGGAGGTTCCAAAGAGTAGTGAATGGACATGTGCTCACAGTATTCCCACTTCCTCGGGGCCTACATGTCATGGATTTGTTCGCATCACCCCTATGCACTCGAATACTTCCTAGCCTTGTGGCTTAAGGATTACCACCCTTTCTGCTCCATTTGATCTACAATACATTTTCCGTACCTACGTACATGCTGTGGGTAGTTATTCTATCTTGTCGTTGCATTTCCGTAGGAGGCAAGCCCTGCAAACTTAGGCAGGCAATCCTCCGGGACAAAGTGCTCACCATTTTTGCGTCACGACTCACACATCAAAAACCTTCAGCCCCGAGGCTACCCAACAATTCTATGAAGTTGGCTCGTGGTGGGGCCCACCTCACAAATCTGGACGCTTCTGGTCGCATTGTCTGATCTCCGTAGGTTTTCGAGGGAGAGTAGTATATTCTATTATGCATATATATATGTATACATATCTACATAGATAATGAAATGGTTATTTTTCATATACATCTATATATATATATATATATATATATATATATTGTTATGGATGTTGCATAAACTATAATGTATTATGCATGTACATGTATATATATATGTACATACATAAATGTATATTTGTTTATTTAAATGTATGTTTTTGAATTACTTTATTATATCCGCCGACCCCAGCCGGGGGCGGCGTCAGTGAAGACCCACTGCGTGTTAGACCTTCCACCTCATCTATGACAGGCTTGCCGCTCCCACCCCCACCCCCCACCCCCACCCACCCCGCCATTCCCCATGGTCCCATGGCCCCAGCCTTCTACCATAGGCCCTAAGCTGAGTTTTAAGGGCTCCAGTTCGCACTTGCTCCACTTCCCCCCCCATTGACGCTCTGGCCCCATGGCTTCATGGCCCCAGCGCCCCAGGGCCCTACCCCCATGGTTCCATGGCACAAAAGAGCTCCAGTGCGTGCCCGCTTCCTCCTGGCTCCATGGCTTCATGGCCCCAGCGGCCCAGGCCCACCCCCAGGTCCATGGCCCTCTGGCCCCACGGCTTCATGGCCCCCGCAGCCTGGCTCCAGCCTTCTATCAAAAACGCTTCCTCCACTGCGCCCGACCACTGAGTTTTAAGGGCTCCAGTTCGCACTTGCTCCACTTCCCCCCCCATGACCCTCTGGCCCCATGGCTTCATGGCCCCAGCGCCCCAGGGCCCTACCCCCATGGTTCCATGGCACTATGAGGGCTCCAGTGCGTGCCCGCTTCCTCCACTCCCCCGGACCGCTCTGCATGGCCCTCTGGCCCCATGGCTTCATGGCCCCAGCGGCCCAGGCCCACCCCCAGGTCCATGGCCCTCTGGCCCCACGGCTTCATGGCCCCCGCAGCCTGGCTCCAGCCTTCTATCAAAAACGCTTCCTCCACTGCGCCCGACCACTCTTTCACGCCCTCTCACGCGCATGGTCCAGGGCCCTACCCCCATGGTCCCATGGCTGGCCCCATGTCCCCAGCGCTTCAGGGCCCTACCCCCATGGTCCCATCCCTACCCCCATGGTCCCATCCTCAGCCTTCTGACCAGGCTCCAGTGCATGTTCGGCACCCGCCCTCTCCGCCCTGGCTATGGCTTCATGGCCCCAACAGCCCAGGCCTGTCCCATGGCCCCAGCCCCCACCGGCCCAGGGCCTACCCCCAGGTCCATGGCCCCAGCCTTCACCAGCCTTCACCATACCCCGCATTCTCATGACCCAGCCTTCTGCCAGTTGCTCCACCCGCCCCCACCCCACCCCCTCACGGACAAGGCAATGGGTTCCAGCACACGCCCGCCCTCCCTGTGCCCCATGCCCTTGATGCTAATTCTTGTGCTGATTCTTCAGGGCTCCAATGCATGCCCGCGCCCCCTCCGTTTTCCCCCGCCCGCTCCGCCCCCCCCCCCCCCCCCACCCCCACCCAACCCCCACCCCCCACCCCCCCCACCCCCCCCCCCCCGCCACCCCCCCCCACCCCCCCCCACCCCCCCAACCCCCCCCACCCTCCCACCCCCCCCACCCCCCCCACACCCCCCCCCCCACACCCCCCCCCACCCCCCCCCCCCCCCCCCACCCCCCCCACCCCCCCCCCCCCCCCCACACCCCCCCCAACCCCACCCCACCCCCCCCCCCAACCCTACCCCCGTCCCATGGCCTCAGCCTTCTTTCCAAGGCTCCAAGGCATGTTCGGCTGGCTATGGCTTCATGGCCCCAACAGCCCATGGGACAGGCCCCAGCGGCCCAGGGCCTACCTTCAGGGTATGACCCAGCCTTCTGCCAGTTGCTCCCACCCGCCCCCAACCCCTCACGGACAAGGCAATGATTTAAAGGGTTCCAGCACATGGGCTCCACTCCATGCCCGCGCCCCCTCCGTTTTCCCCCGCCCGCTCCGCCCCCCCCCCCACCCCGAACCCAACCCCCACCCCCCACCCCCCCACCAACCCCCCCCCCGCCCCCCCACCCCCCCCACCCCCCCCCACCCCCCCCCACCCCCCCCCCCCCACCCCCCCCACCCCCCTGCCCCGCCCCAGCCTTTACCAGAGGCCTCAAGCTGAGTTTTGGGCTCAGTGCAATGCCTGCTTACTTCCATGGTTGAGTTTTAACGGTTTCCGCCCGACCGCCCCCATGGCCGATGGCTTCACGGCCCCAGCCAGCGCCACCGCCCACGTGTCCCAGTCTCTCCGCCCACTCCGGCCGGTCGCCGTAGCTGGCTTCATGGCCCCAGCGCCCTCCCGCGCTCTCCGCCCACCGCGACCGCTCCCATGGCCCTCTGGCCCCATGGCTTCGAACATGGCCCAGCACCCAGACCCTCCGCATCCCATGGCCCCAGCTTTCATTGCTTCCTCCACTCCCCTTGGTCCATAACCCCAGCGGCCCAGGGCCTACGCCAGGTCCATGGCCCCAGCCTTCACCATGCCCAAGCTGACACCTCCATGGCATCTACAAACCCCATGACTTCATGGGCCCAGCGAGTTTTAAGCGCTTCCTCCACTTCCCCCCCGACCGCTCCCTGAGTTTTGGGGCTCACCCCCATGGTCCCATGCCCGCCCTCTCCGCCCACTCCGACCGCTCCCCATGGCTGGCCCCATGGCTTCATGGCCCCAGCGCCCCGGGGCCCTACCCCCATGGTCCCATGGTTCAGCCTTCTACCATAGGCCCCAAGCTGAGTTTAAAGGGCTCCAGTGCCATTTTCCTCCACTCCCCCCGCCCTCTCTGCCCACTCCGACTGCTACCCATGGCCCTCTGGCCCATGGCTTCATGGCCCCAGCGGCCCCAGGCCCTAGGCTGAGTTTTAAGGGCTCCAGCGCATGCCCCGCTTCCTCCACTTTCCGGGACCGCTCCCCATGGCCCTCTGGCCCACGGCTGGGGCTCACCCATGGTTCAGCCTTCGGCCCCAGCGGCCCAGGGCCTACCCCCAGGTCCAGCCCCGGCCTTCACCATACCCAAGCTGAGTTTTAGGGCTCACCCCCATTCTAACATGGCCCAGCCTTCTGCCATAGACCCTAAGTTGCTCCACCCCGCCCGCCCCAGCGCCCCTTCAGGGCCCTACCCCCATGGTCCCATGGCCCAGCCTTCTACCATAGGCCCTAAGCTGAGTTTAAAGGGGTCCAGTGCATGCTCCAAGGGCATGCCCGCTTCCTCCACTCCCCCCGCCCTCTCCGCCCACTCCCACTGCTCCCCATGGCCCTCTGGCCCCAGCGGCCCTAGGCCCTAAGCTGAGTTTAAAGGGCTCCAGCGCATTCCCGCTTCCTCCACTCCCCCGCCCCATGGCTACTCCCATGGTCTTCTGCCATAGGCCCTAAGTTGTTCATGGCCCCAGCGCCCCAGGGCCCTACCCCCAGGGTCCCATGGCCCCAGCCTTCTACCATAGGCCCTAAGCTGAATTTTCAGGGCTCCAGTGCATGCCCGCTTCCTCCACTCCCCCCGCCCTCTCCGCCCTCTCCGACCCCATGGCTTCATGGCCCCAGCGGCCCAGGGCCCTACCCCCATGGTCCCATGGTCCAGCCTTCTACCATTGAACTGAGTTTTAAGGGCTCCAGTGCATGCCAGCTTCCTCCACTCCCCCCGACCGCTCCGCATGGCCCTCTGCCCCATGGCTTCATGGCCCCAGCGGCCCAGGGCCTTCCCCTATGGTGCCAAGGGCTCCAGTGCATGCCCGCTTCCTCCACTCCCCCCGCCCTCTCCGCCCACTCCGACCGCTCCCCATCATGGCCCTGGCCCCATGCTTCATGGTTTCAGCGGCCCTAGGTAAGCTGAGTTTTAAGCCGGGACCGCTCCCCCCCGCAATCCCCCGCCCCACCCGCCCATATGCCCCCCCCTCCACCTGCCTTCCGCCCCCCCACCCACACACCCCCCACCCCCCCCACCCCACCCCCCCACCCCCCACCCCCCTCCTGTCGGGGTTGAGCCGGACAGAGCGTGCTTCAATTCTTAGGATGGGGTCGGCGGCATTGGCGGTAGCCATTAAATAATATTTATTATTTATACATTGCAGCACGTTGCAATGCCCTGCTCAGATTCGCAAGATGCCGAATCTCAGCTGCCAACGCAGTACTGCACAAGATGTCCGCAAATTTCGGGTGCTTCAGCATCAGCCTTTGTCAGGAGAAACAGAACTGGCATCTGCGCCCCCGATCCCATCGGCAGGTGCAGATCTTTGTGCTGATGCGTTCGCGTTCGTCATGTCTCTAAGACTCTATGAGGAACACCCCAAGCAGCCCAAGTTGCAGAATGATGCCATTCGAACTGATGAACGACAACGTATGATTGCTTTCCAGCTTTTACGAACAACAGAGGCTGCCCAGAGAGATGCACAGATGCACAAGCTCATCCTCACAATCTTGCGAGCGAATCTGCTTCAATTGTGCGCTAAACAAATTCCGGAGCTTCTCTGAGAAGCCCCAATCCAGTGACCTCCTGGCTCCTCATCATGTTTGAAGACTTGTGACCAGCATGAACTGGGTCTTCTTGCAGAAAGCTCTCGCGTGCTGAGTGCACCTTTTGATGCAGAAACTTCCTTTGGAATTCTGCCAGCACGGCGGGAATGGAACCATCCCCGCCAGAAACGGTACACACGGCTCCTGGCCGGGTGAGGACTCTGGCAACGTTAACAGTAGCTGCAGTAGCTGCAGGAGCTCTCTGGCTTGACCTGAGTCTAAAGAGTCTGCATCTCTCAGCGCTTGCCACAATGTCAAAGCATGGCTTCCAAATGCTTTTCCTATCTCCGTTTTGCCATCTGAAGCGGCTTATTGCGGCTTCAGGCGAGCGCATCCTTCCAGCGCCTCCAGGGCTCTGCGGATGCTCTGCGAATGCTCAGCAAAAATGCCCTCTGATTAGGCAGGATTAGCTGGCGCAAGGTGGTGTAGGCTGGTGTAAGCTGGTGTAAGCTGGTGTAAGCTGGTGTAAGCTGGTGTAAGCTGGTGTAAGCTGGGCCACATATTGAGGCTTTGGCTGACTTAGAGACAGGTACACTTAACACACACATAAAACATGAAGCCACCCAACCCGCTCCAACAACCTTTGGATGAGGTGCCGGTTCGTTGGGAGACTGCCTGGTGGCATCAGACACATCTGGGGACGGCGGCCACCTGAGCTGCCACGAGAGAGGGCTGTCGAAGGATGCTCATCCCGTTCTCCACGGTCTCCCCCCCCCTTTGGAGAGCGGCGAGGAGGCAGAGGTGGGCGTGGACCGCTCTGCCAGGCGCACCTGCAACACAAGGACATCTCAGCAAGAGGTCGGACATGCTGAGCTGTTCTCAGGACTTTTCGGGAAAGGCTCTCCAAAAGCCTCGCTGCGCTGACTGGCACTGTGGCGAAGAGCAGCAGCTGCTATCCTGGGCTTTGGATCGAGGACAGCTGGTGCGACATGCAGCCATGATGAGCAGCATCGCTGAGTATATGCTCCGTGACGAGGCACCTCTCGGCAGCTTCCCTGGCTGTTGAAAGGGTTCCATTTGCAGGAGACAATGTATTGTCCAGGACATCCGGCACATTGGCATGCTGTCGGAAGGTCTTGCTTGCCTCAGATCTCAGCATGAACATCCCACCGCTGTGGTGCTTTCATTGTGGGTCCCTTCCCTGACACCTTGCAACCCGGATGTGGAAAACGAGCCATGGTCCTGACGAGAGGCTGTCTTCCACGGCTGCGCTGTTGGCGCCAGGCTCAGATGCATCGCCTGCAAAGGAGGTTAAGTGACCAGTGGAAATCAGAAGCTTCCTAGAGTCTCAGAGCCAAAAAAGGCAGTGGTCAGGTTTTGCAATATGCGAGCCTCCAGCTCAGCAAAGAAAGAATGCTTCCAAGTGTCAAGCTCCTGCCACAGTGCAGGTACAAGCAGCAAGAAGCACAGACGAGACCAACGCAGCCTGGTGTACGTGAGAACTTTGTCTCGCGTTGCAAAGGTCTGGCGCCTGAGTCTGCATGTCTTGTTTGGTTCTTGCACGTTCTGAATCGTTCTAGATTCAAAGAGCCTAGAAACCAACAAGTCAACTGTTCAAGTGATTATCGCCATTCGTGCAGGACAATGCATGTGCTGAGAAGCAGCGGGATACTGGCACCGCGTCAAGCCTCGGCCATGGCGCAGGCAAGGTCAGGCGAGCTTTCGACTGGGACGATCTTCTGCAATGCCACCGAAGGGGCTTTCGACATGGGCAGCATTCTGCTGTGCCAAGGATTGTAAGGTCGTTGACCTAGGCTGCTTTCGAAGCCATTGCGGATGGGAACACAAATTGGCAAAGACATCATCCCAGTTGTTCATAATGTGCGGCTGAGCGCAAGACACACAGGACTGCATGGACGCAACTTCACGCAGTATGCCTGTGTGAACCTGTCACGATTCCCAGCAGCACTTAGCTTATTCGCTAAGCCTCGGCTACAATGCGTGGCAACATGAAATTGCGAGGAGACGAGGCATCCCTCTCGCCTGGCGAGTTGCCTCCACCACCGTGTTCAGCTGAAGCTGGAGTTGAGAAGACATCTCTCGTTGGACGGTTTCGACCTGGCGCTGATATTCGCAGATGTGAAGCTACGAGAACCAGTTATCAACACCCGCTGACCGGAATTGGGCATGCAACTTGAATGCAAGAAGGATTAGTTCCACATTCCTCTTCCAACTCTCACAATCTCATTCAGGCAGTCTGTCATGACCTCGCGGAGACTGCGCTCCATGTCTCCATCGCTTCGAATGGCCTCTGACACCATCGCCTGCCAAGGCCAGGAGGCTTTGCAATAGGTTGGTCATCATGTCGTTACAAGTACGGTACAGTAGTGTCCAAAGTCGTAGGCGAACTCAAATTTACAGGCATTTTGTCTGAGCGCAAATTCCAGACTTGTAGAATCAAAGTTGAAGCTGGCCACCTCTAGAACATCTGTGAGCAAGGAACCTCTGAAAAGCCACCATAGTCAAACGAGACAACTTTGAGATTCTTCCGGGACTGCAGACTAGGACCGATCGCCCCGGGGCACTCTGCACAAGAGTCAGTCTGGTAACTGTGCCGCTCTTCTGGAGCGCGTCTTCGCAGCGGAGGGTCGACGGTCCAGGGCAGGTCGCTTAACTGACTTCTCGAGGAGTTGCACCGGGACAGCAGGCTGGCAGCGATTTCCAACAGAAAAGTGAACCAGCAGCCTCAGCTTTGCCTAAAAAACGATGGACCACGAAAACTGTCAGGCCTCGGAACCCTGCCTAGTCTGAGCCATGCAAACCCCCAGCCCTCAAAAAAACCGTACACCCAATATACTGACTTGAAACCCTGGAAGCCCAAAGGATCACCCTCAGCCCGGATTATCCTAACCTTTAAAGTCGACAGTTTAGCTGAGGTGGTATACAGGGGCCCAAATCGCCAGTGAGGGGTGGTAGGAAACCGAATGCTTAAATCTGGAACTGTTGTTTATGCTCATGAAAGACCTGATGACCCCAGGGGCAGGGGGGGGGCAGGGGGTTCTCTTGGGTGCGATTGGGGCAGCCATTTGTTTGGAACATCGGCCCGGTTCCATGCGTTGTTTCTTGTGTGCATGCATGCGTGCGTGCGGGCTTGAGTTTACTGGTGTGCCCCGCTACCCCTTCCAGCAGCCTCAAACCATAACTTTGTATCGCATTCGATGTCAGAGGTCCATCCATCGAAACGAAATTGGAAACGCCCCACCTTCGATGACTGCAGTTCCTTCAACATCGTGTCTCTGATGTCTGCGAGTTCCTGGCTCAGACTAGGCTGAGCTTGCTGAATTGGACAACTCACACGGACTCACATCTGCTACAATCTGCTGCAACTTTAACAGCCTTGGCGACACTCGTCCACGGCGTCTCGGAGCCAACATGGGCAAGGTCGGTCTCCGAAAGCTGCCGCTGCACTCGCCTGAGATATCTGTGCGCGCTCCCTGGGCGCATGAGCGACGCCAGGAATGATCTCATGTCATGCCTGTCTTGATGCCTCTTCGGTCTCTTTCGACAAACTTCCCTCTCTCTCTTTCTCTCTCTCGCTCTCTCTTTTGTTGAACCAAGCATCTCCCGTGTGGGATTGCTGTTAAATTTGGAGGGCGAAAGTGGCGAAACACGTTCCTGCATCAACAGCAAATAATCTGCACAGATGATGAGTACTCTAACTACTCTAAATAGTCATGGAAGTCTGCACATGCTCAGGGCTTCAGCAGAAGAGCAACGAAGATAGCCCGAAATTACGATGAGTGCAGACGTTTATGCTACTGTGCAGTTGTTTGTATGTCGTGAGTTGTTATTCGCCGCTGGGGCTTTTGACGCTGTTGTGGGGCTGCGACACGCCAAAACACTCAACCCCGCTACGTCACAGAGGGCTTCGCTACGAATGCCCACCACATGACCAAACGAAACCAAACCAAATCAAGCCGTGGGCACACCAACGATTGCCCACCGCAGAAACATCCACCCACCATGCTCTGGCGATGTATTTCGTTTTTTATCATTCACATGCGTGCGTCCAACCCGTGCCCCACTCTCAACGCAGAGAGGCCGGACAACAATATTTTATCCACCCTCGTATCTCGATGCCCTGGTGACCAAGAGCAAGTTCACCACCAACCAAAGCAGCAAACCAAATGAGCCTGCAAACCCACTACTTTGTTACAAGCAGGTAACGACATGGACGGCAACTCCTAATGAGTGGGGCCAAGGGCATGCGTTTCGATCCCGGTTTTGCATTCCTTCAACAGGGCCACCTAAAGTGAATCAACACACGGACAGCAGAACATGAGAACGGAATCACAGTCACAAGCTGCATCCATAAGGCCTTCGGCCCGGTTCGGGATCGGCCGGCGGGGCGCAGAACCTCCGAGACAAGACAACTTTCTCAGATGGTGCCCCCGTGGTGCCCCCGTGGTGCCCCCGAGTGAGGAGCTCAGAACGATTTCACACTGCCTGCAAGCTCGGCGATGACTTGGAAGAGGCCTCATTATTCCAAGGCCGTTTCGTTGCAGGCCCCAACATCTACGTCAGTCCACAAGACTGTGCCGAACGAACACTCATATCCTATGTTATAAATGTCATGACTGCCCATTCTATGCCTGCATGTCCAGCTCGAAGTGCTGCGCGATGCCAGCAAGAAGACTTTCGCACCTGCACTGCGAAGTGTAAGCTTCAACAGCTGACTCGGGCCACATCCTCGTTCGACCTTTCCATAACTTCTGAAAGGAAAACACCATCTTCCCATTGAAACGTCCAAGCCTGTCTACTTTCACCTTGGTCTGTGCCGTGATGTAGTGCAACTCCTTATTGACACAACATGGGCATGGCGACCGCGAAGGACAGATTCGGATGTGGGCGGCTTCTGCTTGATGTTCAGCCTGAGTGGCCACGATCGATATGGGCCGTAAGCCCTCTGCCAAGTGCACAATACTCTGGCCTCAGCTGCTGTATGCACGAGGACAAACGATGCTACAAGAATCTGCCAGTGCGAAGCTCGCAGGGCCCACATCGCACCGAACGAGCAAATCCGAGGACGGTACAGAATTCCTTCTTGTCGATGGAACCGCTGCCATCCTGACAAGACAGTAGCCACATCCGAGCTCATGGGTTGTGCCAAGAAGAAACTCACAAGTGCACAATTTGACATATGTGTCAGCCAAGCTTCGGTGTCCATGCAGTTCACCTCAGAGAGCAACGAAGGAATTTGCTGTGATCGTGCAATTCTCAAGAAGAATCGTCTTCTGGGTCTCTGACTGTGTTCACGAGATCCTCTCGAGCGAAGGGCACATTCTCTTCGACGCAGAGTTCGTCAAGCGCAGGAAGGATTTGCATGATGTCTTCGATCGAAGCATGACCTGCGATCATTCAAAAACGCCTTGCCTTCAAGCGAATTCGTGAACGATCGTCAACAACCGAAGAGAATTCCACAAAGCACAAACTCACTAGGCCGTGTGCAATCATCCACACAAATCTCCAGCTGCCTTGCGAGCTTGCGATGGTCTCGAAGATTCCCTCGCAGCCTTTAATGATCCTGCAAGGAGACACTCTTCCGGGCAGCAGGCAGCAAAAGAATTAGGCCCCAAGAAACGTTTTTGTCTTGACGTGGAAGGGTGCTGGTACAGGTACTTCTCACTTCGTGAATCGTGAAAAATTGAAAAACTGACCACTTGGAGGGAAGCTGTTGCTGCCGACCAGCTGCCTTCAGATTTGCAAGGATTGCATCGGCAAGACGGATTAAGCGAATCCCAGAACCCAGACTGTTGGCGTGTCCACGCTCTGGCTGATTGGGCCAGCTGACGGGAGCCTATCGGCCGTTGCAGCTTCTCCATGTTTGTCCAATAGTTGGCTTGGGTCGACGTGATTAGTCAGGTGATTAAACATTGCTTGTAGCTGCTTGTAGATGTGATCTTGGTAAATCTTTATGGTTGGATGTGTTGGAGGGAGGCAAGGACAGTGGTGGTTGGAAGATGCATGGGTTGAAAGTATGAGAAAGGTCGACGACGGTCTGCAAGGTCGGCGATGGTGGAATTTGTCGGAAAGCCTGGTTACTAAAGTACCGAAAGTACCAAGGATGGAGAAGCTGAGAAGCTGCTCGGTGTCCTCTGGCGCTTCTCTTCAGCCTCTGCACGCTCCTGCTCAATCTTCGCATCGTTCTTGTCGAACATACTCTCCTCGGCGCGTCAATGCCCTTGACGATGCTTGCTACGAGCTCGGCGACCCAGAGCTTGGCACAAGGCACAAACGAGGCCAGTTAGTAGACCCACGATGCCAAAGCTCACCTTAGTGCTGGCGCTTTGCCTGCTCTAGGTGCCTTGTGCCCTGGCGACAGAACATCGTGAGACTTGCTGCATTCAAGCTGCGAAGACGACAAAGGCAATGAGAAAGGCAGAAAAAAGAGCATCGGACTCCAAGACATCCCTCCAGGGAAGAAGGCACTGCTTGAGCTTGGACATCTTGGGGGCCCAAGGCTCAAGATTCGCCATAGAACCCTTTTTTGTGTATCTTGGCTGCCTCTTGGCTTTGTATGGCTTTGTGAGCTGCTTCAGATTTGATACTTGACTCCAAGCGCTCCACATCCCATGCCAAGCTGAGCCGATCACCACGTCCCACGTGCAGACTTAAACCATCCTAAAGCATCCTAAAAAACAGCGTGAGTCATCATGAGACATATGCAGTCACCCGGCCAGTAGGGCATCAAGTCCGGCTCAGACAGCAGGAAGAACAACGAGAGCATGGACTTCCGAAGAGAGCCAAAGTGAGCGTTCAGAAACTCCTCGGTTGGTCAACTGCCACTGGCACTTCCATGAGAAGTCTTACAGTTTTGGTATGTTTTGCTAAATCACGGCTCCTGGTGCTCGTTGTCCTGCATGAACGGGATGATCAACCGCACGCACACAATCGAGGTGACCTTGTTTCCAGAACGTCAAATCAGGGTGTGGCACACTACGGGACATTCTGTCACACGAGTTGCCCCAGGGAACCTTTCCGGGCGATCCTTGGGCGTTCTCCGGCCAGATGGGCCCACTCAGCACGACGTGACCCGCAGAGCTGGGTTCCGCAACGTAGATTGCTGCCAGCATCAGCAGGGACACGTTTCCTGAGATTGTAGGGGTTCACAAGAACCGTGTCTGTAGCTTCTTGTTTGCAAGCAGAAGCCCCTTGCAAACGTCTTGGTCGAGCTTCTGATGGCTACAGCAGCTGCTGCAAAGCCGAATGTCAGAACATGGAAGTCCTCAGCTGAAAACATCGGCTCCGCAGATCATGCAAGAGACATTAAGGATTAGCCTAGATATGCCTTGACCTCCTGTATCCTCCTGTCGCCCGCTGGACTCTCGCTGGCTCGTGAGTCGGGCAAGTAACCGTACGGGTCACCACAAGACGCACTGAGAGTTGCGTTCTCCCAAGGAATACCAAGATCAGTTCAGTTGCACACGTTGGGCATCGCCAGGCACACCCTCTGCTGCAAAGCTACCGACAAATCTAAAGCATCAGCCAAGCCACCCGCAAGAATCGCAAGAGACGGATCATCCGCATGACTCTCAATAACCTGAAATTTTGATTTGGCTTGACGAGAAGCATCCTGTCGTCGTAATACAACATGCTACGACGTCTTTTGTGGTCCCAGCAACCGAATGATGCGGAGAAAGGTCATGAAGCTTCCCTTAGAAAACAATCCGTCTGTCGCAACATGCACGGGAGCTGAGACTGCATTCTGAATCCAAGAGCTCCGCCTTCTCATGCCGCACTGGCGAGAAGTCGAACATGACATCAAGGAAGCCAGCGATCACAACGCAGAAGTCAAAAAGGTTCCTCTCGCACAGTTGCAATGCCAGCCCTAAACTAGGAGGCGAGTGACACATGTTGGCGCTCCAGCTGAAGTCTTCATTCGCGTACGCGAAGAATTTTGCTGGCCCAGAGACCAGAATTCGCAGAAGCAGCTCGATGGCAAAGATACATAGGAAAGCGATTTCCATCACCTCGAGTTGCTCTCAGCCATTTCCACTGCTCATTGCTATTTAGCGAGGCATGGCCCAGGCATGGCTCTCTCTTCAGACTCTTCGGTCGTGGCATCCATGCTTCTGAACTGTATGTCTGAAGAAGAAGCTTGTCGAGGCTGTCTGGTGTGCAGGCCTTTAGTATGTTCGACCGATGAAATGGTATTGTGCCGACTCTGATTAGGAAAGCATTGGTGAAGAAAGGAAGGTCAGCGGTCTGGGCTGCCAGATTCAAGGGTAGGTGAGCTTCCAGTACTCTCACTGTGTGGGTCGACTTCGTTGCGAGAGGTTTCCCCTCAGAAAGCGCTCGCGCTGAATTTAACTTGCTGGCACCAGCCACATCGCGTTTTCGAAGACCTGCTGATGCATCTGCAAGCTGCACAAAGGCTTTCAAGAGGAGTCAAGTTGCTGCCCAGACTTCCCCAGCGTTGTCCGTCTCCAAGCCGATGACGATGGCATTTGCCACGATCAAGGTGGAGATGAACAGCTGAGACGAAAGAACGATGAAAATGAAACTGTCACAGCACTGTCCGACAGTTTGCAAGTCCGATCTCCAGCTGTTCTAAGGCGAGGTCATTGAATCCAACACTGTGGAGAAGTTCCTCCCAGCAATCCGGCTGGCAGCAGCTCTGCTGCTGGACCACTGGATCCTGCTGCGAAGTCTGACAATCTGATAGGCATTACGAGCTTGTATGCTGACACGCGCTGCGAAGATGCCAAACCTCGGCGACGGTCAGAGGAAATAGGTTCCTCTGACCACAGGAACCCGTACGACCCCCTCGCGCGTGGGACCCCCAGCTGCCCCTAGTGCCGCCGTACGAGCGAAGTACAAGTAGGAAGTAAAACCAGTATACTACTTTGAACTTTTGTGGAATAGTTGTACGCGGCATGCGGTTAATTGGCCCCACAGTCTTCTCTGTGCGGCAAGCGCTTTTGCGTGGCCAGGACAGTAAGCATTTCTTTCACACAACACCCCGGGAGTCGTGGTTGGCACTTCCGGGTTGTTTTCGCAGGCACATGCATGTGTTCTACCCGCCCTGCTTTGCTTAAAGTGTTTCTTGAACTTCTAAGTTCCATGCAATATCAGCTTGCCAGGTCATAGTCGTGGTCGTGGTCGTGGTCGTGGTGGTCGTGGTCGTGGTCGTGGTCGTGGTCGTGGTCGTGGTCGTGGTCGTGGTCGTGGTCGTGGTCGTGGTCGTGGTCGTGGTCGTGGTCGTGGTCGTGGTCGTGGTCGTGGTCGTGGTCGTGGTCGTGGTCCCGGTCGCGTTCGCGTTCGCGGTCGCGGTCGCGGTCACGGTCGTGGTCGTGGTCGTCGTAGATGGTGTCGTAGTAGTCATAGTAGTCGTAGTAGTCGTAGAAGTCGTAGTAGTCGTAGTAGTCGTAGTAGTCGTAGTAGTCGTAGTAGTCGTAGTAGTCGTAGTAGTCGTAGCAGTCGTAGTAGTCGTAGTAGTCGTAGTAGTCGTAGTAGTCGTAGTAGTCGTAGTAGTCGTAGTAGTCGTAGTAGTCGTAGTAGTCGTAGTAGTCGTAGTAGTCGTAGTAGTCGTAGTAGTCGTAGTAGTCGTAGTAGTCGTAGTAGTCGTAGTAGTCGTCGTAGTCGTCGTAGTCGTAGTAGTCGTCGTAGTAGTAGTCGTAGTAGTAGTCGTAGTAGTCGTAGTAGTAGTCGTAGCAGTCGTAGCAGTCGTAGTAGTCGTAGTAGTCGTAGTAGTCGTAGTAGTCGTAGTAGTCGTAGTAGTCGTAGTTAAAGTCGTAGTAGTAGTCGTAGTAGTAGTAGTAGTAGTAGTAGTAGTAGTAGTAGTAGTAGTAGTAGTAGTAGTAGTAGTAGTAGTAATAGTAGTAGTAGTAGTAGTAGTAGTAGTAGTAGTAGTAGTAGTAGTAGTAGTAGTAGTAGTAGTATGTGAGCAGGTCTATGCACGCACGCTGCATGTGCAAAGCTGCCAGGGCCAGTACTGTAGTAGTTTTCCTTTGCATGTAGAGTTTTGCAATTCGCATCAATGCCAATGTTTTGGCTCAAGTACCGAGCTTGTGCCTTTGAGCACGGTAGTTTCGTACAGTAGCTCTTAGGTTGCTGTGCGGTCCGACCGGACGCACTCAGGCGTAGCTGCACAAGTGCTTGAACTCGCGAAGTCGTAAAACAGCGTGACCGGGCTGTGATTGCATTGGCTTAGTGCAAGTCCAGTGCTGGTCGACTTCACAATTGGGGGCTGTTCTGGGAAACGTACAGCTCTTGTGCCTACGGCCCGAGTGGGCAAGCATTGCTTTGCTTGTCTGTCGCGGTCCGTGACCTGGACGCGTGGACTGTGTGCCACGCTTGCGGCCTGTTAACCAAGGCGCGGCGCTTCGTGTGCCACGCCTGCGGCCTGCTAACCAAGGCGCGGCGATGTCCGCAGAGGTTGCAGGTCAGGCCGAGGGCGTCACCCTCCTCGAAGCGATCGAGGGTGGTGACGTTCCCTATCCCGAGCGGATGAGCTACGTCGCTTGGCTTAAGTGGCGTAGGGAGACCGGCAGTCGTCCGTTGTCCAAGCGGGATGGGGTTAGCACAACGCCAGAGCAGGAGGCGGCTCTCTGGCGAAAGGTCATGAAGTTCCTCCACGACGCCGAAGGCGAGGACGAGGAGGAAGAGGAAGAAGAAGAGGACTCTGAGCTAGTCCCTGAGGCCTCGGGCGCTGGAGGCGACAGTCCGCCGCGGGTGGACGTCAGCGCCGCGGCTAGGGAGCTGGCCATGGTCCCTACCGGTGCTGCCTATGTCCCTGCTACGGCACCAGGGTCCCGCCCGGCGGGACCGTCCGGTCCGCCGTCGACAGCAGGTTCAGTGCCAGGCACCGCAGAGGGCTTGCAGGCGGAGCTGCGCGCGATTTTCCGTCCAGACCAGGAACCGGTCGCGGACTACTTGACGCGCGTTTCGCGGATTGTCCTCGCGCTCAAAGCGCATGGAGTCACGGTGAGCTCCCGTGACCTTGACGCCTTGAGCACCAAAGCCACCCTCCTTGCGGATGAGTTCTCGAAGATAGGCGGGGACTGGCATCCGACAAAGATGGTCCGTCGGCTGCGGACCCGGTTCTCGGTCGCGGCTTTGCGCGGTGGCGAGGACCCCGAAGACGCAGAGGAGATTCAGCGTGAAATCCAATGCATCGGGGAGCTTATCCTCGCGCTAGGGGGAAAAGAAAGCTCGAGCCAAGAGAAGGTTTGGAGCTCCCCGTCCGATGTGCCAGTTGAAGCCGTGGGGCCGCGTTCCCCAGGGCTCCCGCAGCCTGCGACTGCAAGTGGGTTGGGGGTAGGTTTGGACCGTGGAGGTTTGCACACTGCCGAGGTTGCAGGTGGTCCTTCCGCGGCCCGTGACCTGGGCGCGACGGACGGCGATTCCCCTTTGCGCGCAAAGCTCGCGGCGCTGGAGATGGAGATAGAAGCCCTGAAGCGAGGTTCAGACGGCGGAGGTTCGCAGACCGGGTCCCAAAACCCGGCGGGCGATTTCGCCGCCGCACTCGCCGCCCAAACTGAAGCGCTGAAAGAAGCGTTAGCGCAGAGGGGCGGGCAAAGCTCCATAACGACGGTCAAAACTGACCTCACGTGGCCGACGCTGACCGACGACAAGTCGGACGCGCGAGACGTTGTCCTGTTCTACGAGGAGTTCGAGGACGTCTGCGCGCTCGCCAACAACTGTCGCGGTATGAGTGCGCGCGAGAAGCTGCTAGCGCTACGCGGGCGCTGCCGCGGCTCGCGCATGAAGACGTACACGAACGCCTACCGCGCAGCGTGGAAGTCGGGAGAGGTTCTCTCCGACCCACAGGCAGTGTACGACCGCATCAAGAACAAGCACTTGATGTTCGGGGAATCGCGGGAGGAAAGAGAAGTCCGCGTGGATGGTGAGCATGCCTCCCTCGCTAAGGGCAAGCTCACAGGCCACCAATTCGAGCCTTTGTTTGAGGCTGTGTACTCCACGACCGGCTCTCCAAGCGCGGACCCGTCGGTCGCGCTAGCCGAGGCTCAGAAGGAGATTCGGAGCCTCAAGGCCGCCGCTAAGGCTGCTGCGAAGGGAGCAGCTGCCGCGGCCAAGGCTGGCGCGGATCACACGTTTGCCGCTGCGTCGAAGGGAGCTGGCAAAGGAGCGGACAAGAAGATCTGCTTCCACTTTCACGGGAATTGCCCGAAAGGGGATGCCTGCCCGTACAGCCACGACAAGGAGCTTCGCAGAAAAGCTCTCGCGGCCAAGAAGGGTGACCAAACCTTTGCCACGGCGAAAGGCAAGGGCAAAGGGAAGGGAGGTGGCAAGGCAAAGGCCAGCGCTAAGCCTAAGGCTGCGGCCAAAGGCGCGGCAAAGCCACCAGGCACTGTTTGCCCCTTTTTCTCCAAGAATGGGTCGTGCAAGAAAGGAGCCAGCTGCGACATGGTCCACAACCTGACGACCTCGGGAGGGACGCCGGCCTTGCCTGCCAACTGGGCCGCGCCCTCCGGCGCTTCCATGTCCAACCCCTTCGCCGCGTTCAGTGTCCAGATAGGCAGCTCAGGCGTCCAGGCAGGCGTCTCAGGAGCCGCAGGACGCGCCGCGGTGCAGCAGCACGCGCTTCCGTTGAGCAAGGGCGGGCGGGACAAGTTCGCCACCCTGGACGATCTGCCGAAGGACTGGTGGAACCTGGCGGACAACGAGCCAGGAGGCTACCAGTACAGAACGGTAGTCCAGGTGCTCGACCGTAAGGTCGAGTGCATGCTCGACGGATGCGCCGGCGCAAACCACGTGACCGAGGAACTCGTGGTGGGCATGATGAACCGGGCTGCAGAGCTGGGGATCGGCACCGAAGATCCCGGCTTCCCGGTCGTGAGACTCGAGAAGTGGGTCCACCCCGAATATGTGCATGGCATTGCTTCGGGAGCCCCCGTTCCGCTGAAGGGGGCAGCAGTCTTGCGCGTCACGCTGCTGGAAGGCAGGACGGCGGACGACTGTCGCCCCAATACTGAAATTTTCGTGCGATGCAAAATCGCAGCTAGGGGAACGTCCGATTGGCACGGACTGATCCTCGGCGGCAGAGCGTTGGACTGCGCCGGAAGGATGGGCCTGGGCTTCAGGCCGGGTCCCGACTTTCACGTCCTCGACACGCTGGGAATCAGAATGCCCAGGTGCGAGGATCACAGCAAGACCCGGAAGGACAGGGCCTACGCCTTCGAAGCGCGGTTGTCGAGCCTGGACGACGCGTCATGCACCGAGCCTGGGGGCGGAAGTCGGGAGCTCCTCCGCTACGACGGGGAAGGGCCTCTCGAGCTCTCGCCAGGCGACGGGGTGCTGGTGCCTGTCGTGCGGGAGCAAGGAGTCTCCGCAGAGGGATCCCTGTCCGAGGTAGTGCTTCCGGTGGAGTGCGGGGTCGAGGCCGTACCAGGCCTTTGGCCCACAGGAGAGGGAAAGGGGTTTGTGTTGCTCGCAGCCCAAGAGTGTGATCACTCTCTCCAGCCGGGCGAGGTTGTTGCGGAAGTGCGTTCCGGCCTCGTAAGCACTGCGGCCTGTGGTTGTGGCGCGGTTGAGACGGTTTTCGAGTCGGAGCCGTCTCCGCAGGCATGTGCGGATTGTGGGGTCGCCGTTGCCTCGGTTGACCACGACCCGTGCTTTGCTTGCGGGTCCGCGTCCAGGGCCGCGGCAAGAAGCTTCCAAGGTTGTTCCTCGTGT